TAGCTCACTTCTCTACAACAACTTTCTTTCACGGCAGATTTTTAACGTACCGGGGTCCCTTTCGAAAGAAAGCCCACTGAGAGAAACCTAGGTAATCAATACTTCGACGCAGCAGTCTTTGAGTTAAACAGGGATTTTTGTATTAACGTATGATTTAAACAAGAACAGGAATGTTGATGAGCATGCAGCGGTACTTAGTTTCATTTTAGAACAGGAACCAAATATAGTTTTCCCACAGCCATTGCTTTCAGGAGCGAATGCTTCAGCTCACAATATAACTACCGCCGTGCAGAAACGTGGTTTCGTTTCACAGTATGACGGCATGACTGGTACCTGGCATGTTAGCTTCGAAGTGTCCACACACACCCGCATCTATACTTGAAAATATTTTGTTTAAAAAAGACGTGAAACGAGACTCACAACCCACGAGCGCGAAATGCGAGACGGCGGGAACACCATGCAAGACCGGATGGATGATTGATGCAGGGTACTTTGTGTCAGGTGGCCACTTGCCCCACATAACACATGCATGCTGAATTACAATACTCGGTTTAGTGTCGGTTTTGAAAGGCGACCGAAATAGGCTTTTTGTAGCAGGCTTGGCACAGATTACCCATATTTTGGCAAAATGTAGCAGGATGTAGCAGAGTTAGCCACTTGGCACAGTTTGGCGCAGCAATCACATCACTGCCCATTGAAAACTCACAACTGCTGCGTTTTAGTTGATTCCAACCTAATTGCCAACTTGAGCCACCCGTGACATCAAAGCTGCGCCTCAAATTTAGGACGTATGTGCATCATTGCAGACAAATCTGTATAAAGTTACACAGAGATGGTAAAACCAGATTGTAATAGACAGGAATCGAAATACCTGGCGTTACTGTAGAGAGTGCATTAGTTGACTAGGAAACTTTGGGAAGAAATGTAGAGAGACAAGAGAGATGAGACGAGACGGCTGACTACCAACAAGTGTTAATAACTTCTTTCTCATGCTGCGACATCCTCCAGCAGAGGCATTTTTAATGAAATAATCAGCAATTTAAGAAAAACTTTTAGCCTTTCCACTTTGGTGAAGAAGGAAGACCAGCGAAGATGTACTATGGTGGAAATGAAGTGATGGCCGGCCGCAAGTCGGCAAGCCAGAGTGGAAAGGCTCGAAAGGTTGCGCCATCTATGAGTGACGACGGCGAGCAGACAACCGGCAAACACAACACTCTGGACAGCTACCATCATCTATGAGCGACGGCGGCAACCAGAGTTTTGTGTCGACATTTCTTTGCGGGAGACACGATCCTGGGGAAACTAGCCCTTAACAGCTCCGCTGTAAAAAATAATCTACAACTCATCACCGTAACTTAGTTGACTAGATTGAATAAGTCCAACTCTTAGCTGTTTAATCAGTCGCTAACAAGTTTGACTATGGTTCGCACATTCAAGTTCTTGTGGCATGCTTGTACAGCCCCTCCTAGGAACAAGGTGAAATGCCATGCTTGAACGCTTAAAACATGCCATGCTTGATGACATGCTTGAAACAAATGCCAGATGGCTTCTGTCTGTTAGCAAAAGCATGTTGCAGTGACACAGTTGTGACCTACTCACGTCGGATTATATGTGTGTCTAAATAAAAGGTAAATTAACTTTTTTTCCATTTCCTTACAGGCTGATGGTACTGGTCTTGTATGCAGAAACATGAAACTGGTCCTTGACTAGGATCTGCAGCTCCACCTGGCTCATGTGAGTTGAAGAGCACATCAAAGACTGGGGAAAGGCATTGGCCCAAAAACATTGCCCTCTGTCCTTTATAATTCTCAAGAGGAGATCCCGGTGCCGTGAATTGGAACCTTGTTAAGATGACTGCAAGACAAACAAAGATTATTCCTTCAACTGCACATGTCTACCCTCTGGTGGTCTATACTAACCATTGAAAAATAAACATTTTTGCAAAATCTGCCTGATTAGGTGAGTATTAAGAAAAGCTGGATGTACTCTAACCAACTGTTCAAATAGCCCGACATTTCGCGGCCTGCTTGGTCGCTTCTTCACGGGTGATTTATTTGGCTGGGTGTTCGTCTTTCTCTTCTCTTTGTCGCTGCCGTTCAAATCGTCTTCTCCTTTTTGTGACTCCTCAAAGTCCGTGATTATAGCTGCTTGGGAGGATACCAACTGACTGGTTCAGGTTGTTCTTGGTATGCTGGATATGCCAGGACTCTAAATAGAGTCGTTTTTTCCAGTTTCTTTCGGTGTCTAGGACGAAACTGCTGTTGAAGTCGATGACATGGTTGTTCTTTTCTACACGTTCTGCTAGAGCGTTTCCTTGCACGTCCTTCTTTTTGACATCATATTTGTGTCTACGTAGACGTTTGGGGAAGTTCTTGGTTTCCCCCACGTATGAAGCGTTGCAGTCGGCACAAGGAATGTAATATACAAGGCCTTGGGCTTTTTCTTTTGGACGACAATCTTTTGGAAGAGGAAGATGATGGCCAGTGGCCGAGACGGGCTTGTGTGTCACTGCTATGCCGTATGATTCGACAGCACATGTGAGAACTATGCTCGTGTCTCTGAGGTATGGGACGCACATGCGGCTGGAGGGATGGGTTTTCTCGGCTCCAGATGGGTGACAAAGTTTCTTGTAGATATTGTTGACAAATTTTGTTTTATATGCGTTTTTGCAAAGGTCCTGTTTTATAATGTTGGCATTATGAAAGGGGACCTTCAGAAAAACGAATATTTAACAAGATTCGTCAACAATATCTACAAGAAACTTCGACAGCCATCTGGAGCCGAGAAAACCCATCCCCCAGCCGCATGTGCGTCCCATACCTCGGAGGCACGAGCAATGTTCTCACCCGTGCTCTCAAACCATTCGGCATAGCAGTGACACACAAGCCCATCTCGACCATTGGCCATCATCTTCCTCTTCCAAAAAATTGTCGTCCAAAAGAAAAAGCCCAAGGCCTTGTATATTGCATTCCTTGCGCCGACTGCAACACTTCATATTTGGGAGAAACCAAGAACTTCCTCAAATGTCTACGCAGACACAAATATGATGTAAAAAAGAAGGGCGTGCAAGGAAACACCCTAGCGGAAAAGAACAACCATGTCATCGACTTCGACAGCAGTTCCGTCCTGGACACCAAAAGGAACTGGAAAAAACTATTCTATTTGGAGTCCTGGCATATTCAGCATACCAACAACCTGAACCGGTCGATTGGTACCCGCCCAAGCAGCTATAATCACGGACTCAGAGGAGTCACAGAAAGAAGATGATGATTTGAATGGCAGCGACAAGGAGAAGAAAAAGACGAACACTCAGCCAAATAAGTCACCCGTGAACAAGCGAACGAGCAGGCCGCGAAATGTTGGGCTATTCAAACCACGGCCAACTGTATGCTTACGACCACTCCATCTGAGTGCTCCCTACGGAAAGGCCTGCTCCCGGCTGAGGGCCGAGTCTTAACGCCGCCTAGTGAGAGGTGCTCTCATTAGGCAGCACGAAAACTTAGTCCTCTTACCTAACTCCTACCTCATCGGGTTCTTCTGTTATCCGTGGGTGCGTGCCAGCTGATCGCGCTTTCTGGTTTCAAGCTCGTTCACGCAGTAAAATGTTTTTCTCTGTGTAAAGGATACTAAAGGAGTTCAATTCGTTAATTAGTTTGCTTTTTGTTAGTTTGCGCAGCCAACACCAGATAATAATGGCTGCACCGGCGCGCCACCAACGCCATAGAGACCAACAAAACCTGGTGCAGCGCGAAAAAATACGAAAAAAAAAGAAACCGATTTCCAGGCGAGGCGTCGCTGAAACTCGGCCCTCTGGAGGTGCGTGCTGGAGTGTTTCCAGATGGAGTGGTCGTAAGTATAGAGTTGGTTGTGATTCAAACAGTTGGTTTAAGTACCTCCAGCTTCTATACTAATCATAAGCACATCATTAAAGGGGCACTGACACATCAAAATCATATTTTTTTTTTATTATCCGAAACGATTGAAAACGATGCCGGGACATTACCCTCAAAATTTGAAATTTGGGGATTCAGTATTTGTGAAGTAAAAAAACAATTTCCAAATGCCGAATTCGAAGTTCCCGCGCGATCGGCGCCGGTGCCTTGACGTCAAAAATTGCGGAGACCTGAGGGTCCACTTTCTTTCACCACTCCCTGCTGTTGCCATGGCGACCCAAAGCGAGGAGGAAAGGAGCGAGCGCCGGCGTTGCGGCGGACCGGTTTTGAGCGGTGTCGCCTGTTTTCCGTTGGAGGATACAAATCCAGGAGACGGCACCACAACGAACTCCCGATTTTTGGTATTTCAAAAAGAAGGGCTGTAGTGCGTTCGCAATTGCGTTAAAAAACATGTCTTAGGACTGCCGTAATTAAATGTTATAGAGATGTCGCCTACAAAGCTTCTAAATTTCATGATTCTTGACGTCACCGATCAAAAGAAGCGAGGAGGCGAGTTGCGGGAAAATCAAACGCCAAAAATAAATAGGCGCGTGCGCGCGCAAGAAAATTTTTTTTCGCGTTGCGTTTTTTTTTTGTGTGTCTATGACTGCAACTTGCATCGTTTTAGACAATAAAAATAAATACGTCCTTTGGGGTGTCAGTGCCCCTTTAAGGTCCATGTGGAAATTATTTTTTCAAAACTAACAGAAACATCATCGCACCCTTTCACCCTTTTTAAAGAGTAAACCATCATAGGAACTAGTCTTTTCCAGTAACAGTAACCATTTCTAATTCTGATATAGTCGCGGCTCGGTGACAAAGTGTAGTTTCCACAGAACTACAATAACAGAATTTGCATAAGAGAATATGTGTAGTGGTAAGAATGCTTTGAATTCAAACACCTTCCAACTGGCAAAAAAGGCAATTTTGTCTTTTTCCCCAGCCCGACGACATCAGGATTCAATGAGGCAACAACCCAGAAAATGCGCTCAAGTTTTGTTTTGTTTTTAATTTTAATTTACGCAGGTTTATGGAAAATACCATTCATGCGAAGTTCTATAAAGATTATAGTAATGAATAGGGTGAGACTTTATTAGAGTGATGAGCAATATACAAATGAAGCGGAGAGAGCACCCACTGTTCTTTATCTGGCACAGGAAGCGAGGTGAGTGTCACCGAGATTTTGTCCTGAGACAACTCCTTGACACGGACAAACCGGCAGGCTGGATCACTTGAGGTCGGGTGTGGAGCCACCCAGGTAACTGGCGAGTGCCAACGGTGTCGCCTGGATGAGCTTGGCCCGTATCGTTGTGCAGCCCATTCTGTAGTGGGCCTCCAACCTGTGGTTGCCGCCAAAGGAGTAGTAGTAGTTCCCGCCTTGACTTCCCTTGACCCAGAGGAGGTCGATCGGTGGCACTTGGTCTTTTGTGGCAGGGTTCTGTGTAGGCCAATTGCACAATTCAAATGAAGAGAAAGGATGATTGGAACCAGAACATAAGTTACGACTAACTTTGCTGAAGCCATGTTGTTGTATAGTATTTGCGCCCGTAGTTGTCCCTGGCTTTTTGTGACATGCTTCTAATAGATTCAGGGAAAAATGCAGAAAATTTATGAGGCGTTTGTGTTTAAGGGTCAATGTACCCTTTAAGCCTCCTACTTTTGCTTGCTCCCTCCTTTTCCATATCCTCCCCATAATGCTAAGTGAATTATCTTCAAGATACTAAGTGGATTATCTTCCCTGCAGTAAACTGAGGCTGAATGTTGCTCTTTATACACAGGGTTACACCACACAAAAGGAAATAAGACTTGTATGTCAACATCAGATAAGAGGAAAAGAGTGACAAAGCTCTTAGTCTAACATCTGAATGACACTAGTCACTGACAGAGCAAGCTTCTAAAAATATTTATATTTCTTTTATTAGCATAAAATGTTGCATTGGACAACCAGCTACTAACATTAAAAGCTCATTAGGCAGATGATGCACAAATGAACCAATACCACCGTAATTTCTCGAGATGTATGCTCATGCAAATACACTAATAAATAGCCAAAATTGAGAAATTGTACTGCCCAGGTGACCTCGGCAATAACGGGGCAGCTTTTTTCCACCGCCGTCACCTTGATATATTTGCCAAGTTTGCCAGGGCCTTCGTTGGTCATTTGGAACCATATGAAGACAACATTTGGCCGACCAAGGTCGCTTTACTAGTAAGCCTATTAGCAAAAAGCACTCGCATTTTAAGAACAAGAAAAGAACAGCTGCCATGTCCTGGCTGACATCACTGTGGTCATTGTAGGGACAAACAGCAGCTGTAACAAAATTAGAAGATTCGACTATAGCCTCAAAACTGCTTCTCTATTGTGTAGGACGCGAGATGCAGAACTGATGCTATGAGACAAAGGCGAAATGGCGGTGACTTGATTCATGGCGGCAGTGCCGTGAGCAGACGGTGAAAACCAAGTCTGAAAAATCAAGCAAAGACTTGAACAGCCTTTGAAATTTCAGTCGCTGTTATACATCAACTTTATAGAGTGAGTGACAGCCCCTCAAAGACGTTTTGGTAGCACTCCGAAAGGTATCCGACCTATTCTTTTCACCCAACTCGCTCTCTATTTTAAATTAACGGGATACTGAAATGAGAATCGAAATCTCTCTCACGTCCAGAAATTAGTTAAACATGATCATATCTGTTAATGACCATCATCAAGTATATCTGTTAATGACCATCATCTGTTTGTATATTGAACGGATAGCTATATTTTTCGTTCCAAATTGCAGATTCTAGAAAGCGCTGGAAGAGCAGCCTTGGGAGAGCCTGATGCGTCAATAGAGATTCTGACGTCACGTTTCCCAGCATAGGCAAGGCTATGCGGAGGCTGGCACGGTTAGGAGCTTCGGCACTTGGTGGCATCAATGCATTACAACCTAGCCGTTTGAGATGCCCGAGTTTTGGTTGCCATTGCGAGGCGAAAGCAATAAAGTGACTCACCCGTGCTTCAAACTTCACCGACTCTAATGGCACATTCACACTGGAAGTGGATCCACTACCGCGAAGCGAATCCACACGTTCTCAACTGCAAAGCGGCTGGGATCGAGAAGTTGGGGAACATTTTTGCCAACCGCTTCGAGAACGATTTCTCCCAACCACTTTCGCAAACTGCAAAGTCGCATCTAATTGCAATGCAACAGTGGCTTTAGAAACAAATCGGCATCTGATGCTGGTGAGGTATCCAATGCGCTGTAGTCCCAGCATTGCAGCACACAAATCAATGAAGAAACACAATGTTCACGTCCATCAGTTAAATCCGTCGTGAGAAAAAATTGACTTGTAATCTTAACGGGCTTTGCTCTGGTTGTTTGGTTCAGGTAAGCTAGTTTGTTTATTTTTCAAGGTGCCAAAGCTCGTCGCTGCCCTGCCTTGTTAGTCTTTGCACAAAGAACACCGGAACTTGCCCCCGATCGACCGAAATGAGAGCTTTTGTACCTACTAAGGCAGTCGCGCGAACTACTGAAAGCTTTTAACACCGTGCATGACCACCATGAAGTTTCTACTACCAAAAGGAATAAAGGGAGCCTACACAAGAAATAAAGTGTGCGTACCAAACGATGTATAGGTAATCCGTACAGCGTTAATTTGAGCTTAATGTCAAACAAAGAACAGACTTGATCGACGTGTGAGTAACGAGAGGAGGGTCCGCCACCAACCAAGCCACGACCAGCTAGCAGCTAACCCATTCCACGCACCACGGTTCAGTGCCGTTCAAAACTCCAAAAATAATAAAATTGAACGAAGGGGGAAAATTGGCTCTCTATCCTGAAAACAAGGTCAACTATTCATGCTGAAAGGGTTCACTTCGAAGAAAGGGTCAGGGCATCCTCTCCCGAGTCAGCAAGGCAAGCCTAGCTGGGCTTTGCTTGTGTGCGAAGTCGAGGGAATCGCAGGTGGGTTTTGCGTGTCCATGTCTCTTTTCTTGCTGCCTGAACTCATGGTGCATGAATTCAACTGGATTTCAGATTGTAAAATTAAGTTGCCAAAAACAAGCTTCGAAAAACCAGCGTGATCACTGAGAAACTGCAACCGCGTCTCCGTGTGTCTGAACAAGGTCACTCGCGAACCGCATCCGCAACCGCTTCGCAAACACAGTTCGACCGCCAGTGTGAATGTGCCATAAGTCTCATCTCCTCTACCCACAGGAGTTAAATAGGTGGAGGAGAGAAGAGAAATCTGGATCGGCCAAGTTCGACAGAGAGCGCGCGCAAGTGGTTTGACGCCATACTTCCGTGGAGCGGCGCTGCTTTCATGGGAAAGGGGATGTAGCGACATTCAAAGTAGCTTTGTGAACATCCACCAGGTGCAATCTGGTAATCTTTTTATTTTTTTTATATGAAGTTCTGGCATATTTTCAATCTAAATATTGGAGTCTATGTGGTGTTGCCAGAATGTACTAGTTGACATTTCAACAATAAAAAAGGTGCTAGAATTTCGTTTCAGTACTCATTTAAAGGGGCACTGAAGTCATTTTTGAAAAAGGTTGTTTTTGATCTTATATTGTTTAAAATGTGTTAGTTCCAACATATACCAAGTCCTATACTACAAAGCTGCCTATTCATCTCAAGGCAATAGAAAAACATGTGGACTCTTTTCTTGCAAACTATATTGTCTGGACCAATAAAAGCCCTACAATACGCGCGGAACCCGAATGATTTTATTATAACTCGTTTTGAAGAGCGTCTGACAAGCACATATTCGGATAAGACTCCTCTTTTTCCCCGTGGGCGAAGCCATCGCCTGCAACTCGCCGACAAGCACCCTTCGTCGACCACTTCACTCGGAAGAAAATTCTTCCCAGAAAGGGTGTGTCGCGATCTTTGAACACGTTTTTAACGAGGAAATAAGCTACACACGATTGTGATTTCGGGTTTGTTGGGATGCTTAGAGCGTCTAGACTGAGTTGTCACCACAAAAGGACAATCTCAAAATCGACTCGAAGCAAGCTATCTTTTGGATTACAGTAGACTACTATGGGACACTTTTCAGAAAGAATAGATCCTTTTCAAAACCTCATCAAGCAACCTTGGCGGTAGCCATATTTTGGGTATGAAGCGTGGGCAACGAGCTTGAGTCTTACCTTAGAGCGGTAAACCGGAACCCACTGCCTGCAGCGTAAATGGCACCCCCCCGGTCGCCGCCATCTTGCCTGTTTGCCACATTAGTGATCACGTGACGTTACGATGGCTGCGCCCAGAGGTGGGCCAGATCAGATTGGTCAGATCACGCTCAGCAGACGGGCACTCTGGGGCTGCGTTCCAATCGTACTCGAATGGATTTGAGTTTTTCCGGCGGATCAAGTCACGTGACAAGACAGATGCAGCAATGCTGGACGCGGGTAGGTTTTCTAACGCAACGGGTACGGGACCTTCACCCAGGAGTGAGATGAAGTTGCGTTCGATTTACTTGCACCTCCTTCACCGGTGCAGAAAAGTGTAGGGCAGTCTACTTCCGGTGTATGTATTGAGATGCGACCGGAAGTACACCACCCTACACTTTTCTACACCGGTGCAGGAGGTGCAGGTAAATCGAACGCAGCTTTTATCTGACTTTTGGGTGAAGGTCTCGTACCCGTTGCGTTCGAAAACCTACCCACGTCCAACATTGCTGTATCTGTCTTGTCACGCGACTTGATCCGCCAGAACAGCGGACCCATTCGAGTAAGATTGGAACGCAGCTTCAGAGTGCCCATCTGCGGACCGTGATTAGGCCAATCTGATCTGGTCCACCTCTGGGCGCAGCCACCTTAACGTCATGTGATCACTAATGTGGAAAACAGGCAAGATGGCCGCGACCGGGGGGTGCCATTTTTGGCCGCTGGTTTACCGCTCTAAGTTAATTTTACTCAAGCTCGTTGAGCGTGGGATTGAATCCGAGCCCTGGCTGAATGCTGATGCAGTACTCACTTTCCATACGAGCTGAGCGCTGTTCACGCCGAACGCTGAAACAGCACTCGTGTCGAAATTATGCTCAGAGTATGTATCCAAGCAAATGGCAGACCCGGTTAACTGGCACAAGCAGCACTAGATTGTGCACACTTTTGATAAGGGTCTATTGCACAATTGCACAGTACTAAAAACAAAAATCCACTTTATGAAAGATTTGAATGACCAATGGTTTCTGTCATTTCAGCTAAAAAGGATGCCACGGTCATCACTGTAACATGCCTTGCTTGGTGTTTTTCTCTGGTAAAGATACTTCGCTATGAAACTTGTTTCACTTTCTTTTTCTTATTTTTGTTTTGGCGAGAATGACAACTTGGTCTGCTAGCGTGCTAATGTGCACAATTTACTCGCTCTCAGGGCAAGGCAAACAGTTTAGTTTTGTGTGCTTTAACTTTGAGATATTATGACCTCTCCAGTTAAGTAAGATGATCAGAATGGACAA